GCAGGTTTGCATTGCACAACATCAGAAAGATCAGGCCCTTTCTAACGGAGCATGCTGCACAACTTCTTGTCCAGGCTCTTGTAATTTCTAGGCTGGGCTACTGCAAAGCTCTTCTGGCTGGACTTCCATCAAGCACAATCAAACCTCTACAAATTATTCAGAATGCAGTGGCACGACTGGTCTTCAATAAGCCCAAAAGAGCACATGTTACACCTCTCTTTATCTCCTTGCACTGGCTACCGGTTGGTTCAAGTTCAAGACATTGATACTTGCATATAAAACAGCCACAGGCTCAGCACCCGCCTACTTCCACTCACTATTACGAATCTACATCCCCTCCAGAAGTCTGAGATCCGCTAGTGAGCAACGCCTCGTGGTACCATCACAGAGAGGCTCAAAATCACTTTCCAGAACATTCTCGTTCACCATTCCTGGCTGGTGGAATGATCTTCCCACCCCTATCCGGAATGCTGAATCCCTGACCATTTTCAAGCAACAGATGAAAACTCATCTCTTTCGACGCTACTTGGACTTCATCTAAATAAAAAAAAAAAAACGTCTTTCTCTTTATTTATTCCTTCCCTTTCTAGCTTGTACTTATTTGAACAAATGCCTGAAACTTTTATATTACGAGCACTTCCTGTGCTCTTCCTGAACTCTTTTGTTTACTTCATTTTTACAAACAAGGCTCAATACAACGTGAGATTTAAAAAAAAGATTGAAACTAAAAGACGGTGCTGTGCCGATTGGATCCGACAGTCATGTCACAACACACAAGTATGAGTAACTGCTTTTATTACGTGGTCACTATTGCTTTGTCTGTTTAACAGATCGTTTGATATATACTGAGTATTTATGCTATTTTAACCTAAATCACATCAGCATCCATCTATGAAGGACATAGACTGTCAAACATACACAAGTCAATCACAGCAGTGGGTGTTTACTTCCGAGTCTACAATCTGCCATGCCTATTCAAACACAACATTCTGATGAGGGGGGGTCAAAAACAGGAAAGAAAATAATTATTGGCTTATGTGGCCAAAATGTTAATATCAGTGCATCCCTAACAGCTTTTTGCCATCTAAAACCTGGTGCAATCTGAAAGTGCATATGAGATTTCAGTTTCACAGAAAAATAGCATTCAGGCTAAGAACAACATGTGACAACTATTTAAATTTTTGGTTGATATATTCCTTTAACCTACAGTAATTTTTGTAGTCTAAACTACCATTAAAAAGTCTGATGTCAGGGCGTCCTTGCTGAATAAAACTATTAATTTCTTTAAAATAAAATAAAATAAAGAAATAAATAGTAACACTTTGGTTTATAGGCCAGTTCTCACTACTAACTAGTGTAATTAACACTAGCGTCTTCTCTCTGAAGTTCATACCAGGAAACGTACGCCATGACCAGTCCTGGGGGGAGAGTCTTGGGGGAAGGTGGGCACATGGGTGCCATTGTCCTGAGCACGTTCCCTCAAGTACTCCAGCCTGCGAGCTCGGCTGAGCTGCTGCGAGAGCAGGGACTGCAGCTGGGAGCGCTCCATAGAGCCCAGCAGGATCATGGACTCTGGAGCCAGGTGGGGACACAGGCAAGGGAGACAGCAGAGAGACCAGAAAGAGAGGGAAAGAGAGAGAAAGAGAGAAGTGAGAGAGACACAGCGGGATAGCTGGAGGAATGGGGGATAGCAAAGGGAAATGGTAGGAGGGCGGGAAAGGAGATGGAGAAGGTAAAGAATGTGTCTGTCACAGGGTATGAGGTGGAATTGTGGGATTACATTTCCAACTGTGAGCTTTCATTTGGGAACATCAAGAAAATGTCTGGAAAAGAAACTGTACTAAAATCAGTAAAACGTCAAAAAATATTTACAGCCTCATTTTTACACACTTATTTACTTGTATTTTTCTTTTTCTAGCACACTGTCCATTTTTAAGCCTCATTTTCTCTGTTTCTCAAATTCATTCAGAAGCTCATTTACTTTCCAGGCATCTACATCTGTACACTTCTAGTTTTCAAGCAATATATTAACTCAAAATCGTTATTAGGCATAGGAGTTCAACTGTAAATTTATGAAGCAATGAGAATACTTTTTGTACGCAAAGAAAACAAAAATAATGACTTTATTCAACAATTCGTCTCCACCCTGGTGCTATTTTGGAGAGTATCCACTGAACGTAAACAGCGTCACACGGATGCGTTGTTTTCATTCAAATCAAACCGTAAACAACGTAGAAAACGTGTCCGCGTGACGCAGCTGACACAGAATAGCATACGCTGTTTATGTTCAGTGGATACTCTCCAAAATGGCACCAGGGTGATGCGGAGGAGACAAATTGTTGAATAAAGTCGTTATTTTTGTTTTCTTTGCGTACAAAAAGTATTCTCGTAGCTTCGTAAAATTACAGTTGAACCCCTGATGTCACATGGATTATTTTACCCATCTCCTTGCTACGTTTCTGGACCTTGATCACGGTAATTACATTGCTGTTGTTGGAGGGTCAGAGAGCTCTCAGAATTAATCAAAAATATCCTAATTTGTGTTCCGAAGATGAACGGAGGTCTTACGGGTTTAGAACGACATGAGGGTGAGTAATTAATGACAGAATTTTCATTTTTTGGTGAACTATCCCTTTAATTTCTGAACTTATTTGTTTTGCTTTCTTTTTATGTATGGATTACTTGGATTGTTATCGACATCTGGTGAAAATTTCATGTCAACAGCACCTTTAGAAATATATTTACTGAGAAAAATGGTGACGTGTTCAAAACTTATTTTACCCGCTATAAATGTTCAAAACAGTGGTGCTTTTTAATATTTTTGTGCATGCTTTTTTTCAGGATGTTCAAAAGAACAACATTTATTTAAAATAGAAATATTTTGTAACATTATAAAGTTCTTTACTGTAACATTTGCTCAGTTTAATGTAGCCTTTCTAGAAAGTATAATAATAGTAATAATAATAATATAGTTTTTTGTCAGCAAGTTTTTTTTAAAGAAATTAATAAAACTAATTTTATATATGCATTATATGAAGTACACACACACATATGCACACGCACAACTTTGCTCTCTAGATACTGGCATCAGTCATTGAAAACTCATTTTGAGTGCAGCTCATTTCTTGCCGAAAATGGTTCAGCAATCAAAAGTTGATATTGCAGAGTTATTTCAGCTGAATCACTCTTCTATATTGAGCAAAATGGGGGAAAAAAGACACTTTGGGAAGAAGACTGTCTAAAATTTGTCTTAAAGGGGTCCTATTATGCTCTTTTACAAAGTCTTGATTTTGTTTTGGGGGTGTACTAGAACAGGCTCTCATACTAGGTTGTTTGAAAAACACATAATTTTTCACATATTTTACATTATTACAACACCTCTCTCCCCAGTCTGGCATGAACGGCTCGAATAGTTCCTGTATCAAATGAAGGCCCGCCTTCTGAAAGATGAAATGTGCTGTGATTGGTTAGCTGGGCCAGTGTGTGCTGTGATTGGCAGCACTCAGCGCCTGGTCGGGAAATGTCATGCCCCTTACCATAGCCGCCTGCGAGCTTCAGTGTAAATATTGCGTCAATATCAAATCAATTTGAGCGCGATTTAAACCCGGATGATTGTAACCACTCTAAGTTCGTCTGCCTTGGGAAAGCTAGCGTGTCT